TTTTATTTTTATATTGTGATAAATAAAGAGAAAAAAATAAATAATAAAATTTGAAGAAGACAAATTTGGTGGGTGTTTGGTTGTGATTAAAATTAGATTTTTAATATATTGTGATAAAAGTTTTTGAAATGTGTGGTTAAAAGCTGTGAGACCTATGACAGATGTGGTTAATATTGATTGTTTGAGCTAGATTAAAATCTGATTTTAATCTGAAACAAACGAGACCTTGATATGACAAATTTGATAGTCTTTTCCTTATTCCCTTGTTTGGGAAAAAAAAAATGCATTTTATAATATTTTAGAGAGAATACGAGGTTAAAAAAAAGGAAAAATTTTCGATTTACGTATAAAAATATTTTATTGAAAAATGCGTGTTTGAAAATGAATTTTTAAAGAAATGGGGCTCAAACATGCAACCAGCCTGGCAATTTTTTTTTTTTTTTTTTTGCATGTCCTTTTCTGATTGGATTAGGGAGATAACTAGATATTTTAATTATTAATTAAAGTGATTGAAATATTACATTGATATAATTTTACTTAAGAATTCTTCCTTCACATAATTTAATTTTACTTTAGTGTCACACAATCAAACCTTTTATTCTATGATTGTTGATATCAAGAATTATCAAGGTAATCGGGTATTTCAATAATTAGGGATATTTCATCGTTTTTTTCTGTCCTATTGTAATATTAAATTTAATGTAGTAGAACAATGCTTGAATTCTAGATGTCAAGAACTCCACCACTTAGTTATCCTCTCCGTAGTTGTAAATTTTTTAGTAGAAGTCTATAGACGTGTTCGGTTCAGATTAAAATCCAATTAAAATTGAAAAATATAGTCATTAATGAGTCTCCCTCGTCTAATAAAATTCAACAATAACGACTAATTTTTTCGATTTTAATCCGATTTTAATTTTTACTATATTAAAATATAGCCGTTATTGGGTCTCACTCGTCTAATAAAATCCAAACGTTGCTGTAGACTTTCGGCAACATTCAAAAAGCGTTGTCGTATCTCTCTACTCTACGACAACACCTTGATTTGCAACACACGTCCAAACGTCGCCGTAGACCTACGACAACATTTTCTGAACATTGTCGTATACTGTTTTTGTTGTAGTGTCTATGTCTTTCTTTTTTTTTTTTTTTTAAATAATTTATTTTAAGTTAATGTGGTCAAATTATTTGATACAACAGGGAATATCAGTAATTAAATATATTTAATTTGTTACCTAGCTGGAGAACACAACGATGAAAAGATAGTCTAGTTGTCAACCTGGATGTGATAAAATATATTTGCCAGGTTAATAACACTGAGATTTTGATACCAATTCAATCCTTATTTATTATTTTGATAGAATATTCTTGTTCTCAAGGAGCACTTTTTATTTTTATATTGTGATAAATGAAGAGAAAAAATAAATAATAAAATTTGAAGAAGACAAATTTGGTGGGTGTTTGGTTGTGATTAAAATTAGATTTTTAATATATTGTGATAAAAGTTTTTGAAATGTGTGGCTAAAAAGTTGTGGGACCCATGACAGATTTGGTTAATATTGATTGTTTAAGTTAAGATTAAAATCTGATTTTAATCTGAAACAAACGGGGCCTTGATATGACAAATTTGATAGTCTTTTCCTTATTCCCTTGTTTGACCCCATTTTGGGAAAAAAAAAATGCATTTTATAATAATATTTTTGAGAGAATACGTGGTTAAAAAGAAGGAAAAATTTTCGATTTACGTATAAAAATATTTTATTGAAAAATGCGTGTTTGAAAATGAATTTTTAAAGAAATGGGGATCAAACACGCGACCAGCCTGGCAATGTTTTTTTTTTTTTTTGCATGTCCTTTTCTGATTAGATTAGGGAGATAACTAGATATTTTAATTATTAATTAAAGTGATTGAAATATTATATTGATATAATTTTTCTTAAGAATTCTTCCTTCACATAATTTAATTTTACTTTAGTGTCACACAATCAAACCTTTTTTTCTATGATTGTTGATATCAAGAATTATCAAGGTAATCGGATATTTCAATAATTAGGGATATTTCATCATTTTTTCTGTCCTATTGTAATATTAAATTTAATGTAGTAGAACAATGCTTGAATTCTAGATGTCAAGAACTCCACCACTTAGTTATCCTCTCCATAGATGTAAATTTTTTAGTAGAAGTCTATAGGCGTGTTCGGTTCGGATTAAAATCCAATTAAAATTGAAAAATATAGTCATTAATGGGTCTCACTCGTCTAATAAAATTCAACAATAACGACTAATTTTTTCGATTTTAATCTGATTTTAATTTCTACTACATTAAAATATAGCCGCTATTGGGTCTCACTCGTCTAATAAAATCCAAACTTTGTCGTAGACTTTCGGCAACGTTCAAAAAACGTAGTTGTATCTCTCTAATTGACGACAACACCTTGATTTGCAACACACGTCCAAACGTCGCCGTAGGCCTACGGCAACATTTTCTGAACATTGCTGTATGCTGTTTTTATTGTAGTGTCTATGTCTTTCTTTTTTGACATTAACAAGCATTTACTTTATGCCAAACTTTAACATATAAATCAAAATCTACGTTAGCATCCACTTTTACTTTATCTCTAAGGTTTACATTATTTTAGAAAATTGCAATTGGAAATCATCCTATTTCCATATTCTCTTCGTGTCTTTTTCTTGAACAGGTTTTTCTTGAACAGAAAAATGTCATTCCATCACTTTGAGATGAAAACAAATGAAATCCAAGGAGACCCAGGAAAAAAATCTGATAAAATAATGTTGGTGAAGATATAACATTCACGTCGATCTTTGGGAATCTAATTTTCGCGTGAGAATATCATTTAATAATGCCCGTCAATGTCTATATGTGTAGATATCCATACATATGTACGATTTGGATCATAATTCACATGAAATGAATTGGGGGAGTAAGTTCCCGACCTGCTTGAAGCAAATTAGAGACTAGTTTAATATCGTACGAAATATGTAATTGAAATTTATTTTTTACTCTTATTATGATGTTATGAGGAAATCAAATGTTTCCAAGTGCACTAATTAAATTATTGGAGAATGGTACTTGTTGACCTCGAACTTCCGAGGTGTGGTGGGGCCATAGACTCCAACTCCTCCACTGTCCATGCATCGAATATCCGCACACTTGAAAAAACATCTTAGATTGTTGGTAGCTGTAATTTCGACGGGTGTGATCATCACAGCGCTCTAAATGTTCAAATCAAATGGACGTATACATATTTTGGGTTCAATCCCAACTATCTTGAACCTATGGCCGTTTGATATAAGCCGAAAAACAGCCACCCTATATTAGATCACCTGAAAAGTATTAAAAGAATGATTGAGTATATCTGCTGCATGTTGCCAAATCTATCGACGCACAAACTATCTTTATATAAAGTATCATTTGATAGATGCGATTTTTTGTAAAAGACAACGTTCTCAAAAGATATCAACCATCTCTTAAATGTACTGCAGTAGAAAGAGGCACCACTTCGACGTAAATGTTCTCACCTTGGAAGAATTACTTCGAATGAAATACATTGTGGGCTTGAAATGGTGGTCAATCGACATGGTAACTATTCACCTACAATTTGGTTTCTAGCTTCATTCGTTTGCTTAGTTGTCTGTCATTTAATTAATTTGTATCATAAGATGCAGCATAACAGTAATGCAATCGATTCAACTTCAACGCTCAAATAGAAAATATTATCAGTATATACCATTTTATTATACATGCAAAAAAAATGTTGTATATATATTTTTTCTGAAAGGCACAAAAAGAATATTGTATAGCTCCCAATAAACTCAGCCATCTAACCGCAGAAATAGCAGGGCCTCGATATTATTATTCTTGTTGTCCATGCGTCAAAGATTTGAAATTCCACTTTTAACCCTAATAAATCCACGCCTTATTCCACGTGCACGTGCTGACTTTGTAACTCTTCCACCTAACAATTATCAATAGTGTACCTCCCGTAATTAAATTCAAATCCAATACCAAATCTTAAATCCGCACATGATTCTTCTCACTACAGGGAAAATTTCAGTCGAAGTCATTCAACTTAAAAGTTTATTTATTTTTGTCACCCAGTTTTAATTTATTGTACTTTGGTCACTCAATTTGTATTTTATTCCAAAAAATCATCCCCAACTGTCGAGAACAATGTTCTCGTCAAAACTTAAGATGTGATCGCATTGACGGATTGTGCGCTTAATAAGTTAATAAAAGTCGTGAATCCCATGAAATATTAGATTAAAAATATGCTTTAAAAATGAAAACAAAACGAGTATGCGTAGTTGTTCAATTTCGAATCTTTCCATTCATGAAGGTACTAATCATTCTTTTATGTAATTGTAACCAAAATTAATAGTCAGTCCCATGTCGTCAACGAAACCAATGACCTAACGTTAATTTAGCAAAATATTAGTAGTTTTTTTGGGCTTTAAAAAGCTTACACATAAATTCAGAGCCTTAAATTTATCTATTGTCGATTTAATTTTCATTAATTTGTCAAGTCAATGAATGATTTAGCTTCAATCAAGCGAAATAGAACTAGTCGTTAATTTTATCACGGTAAATAAATGTCGAAGCATGTGCAAGTTAGGCTATAAAATTGAAATATATGGAAATTAGGTACTAACTTGAAAACAACATACAAATTAGGTGACCTTTTTAGGAAATTATCCTACCTCTTCTCCTACGTTTGTAACGTCGACACGTGGTACCATCTCCCGCGTCCGTTCTACCTATAATTAAGCTCTCCATCTCTGCAACGAAACTTCGCATTTTCACATTAACAAAATCTCTCTCCATCAACATATATGAGCAGTCTTCTTGTCATCCAGATCTATTTCATAGATGCAGAAGCACATGAAGCTATAGATACGAAATCCTGTATATACATGCAAAGGTTTGATTTATTGCGGCGGTCTCTAATTCGCTTGGTGCAGGTCGGGAATTTTCTTCGCCGGCGATGTCGTTTCTCTTGAATACTGCACTCCAAAATCGTGCGTACACAAATCTGTATGAATATCGATATATAGACTTATTAATTGATGTCGTTGTTTTGGCGAAAATCAGGTTCCCGCCTTGCACAAAGCGAATTAGAGACCGCGGTGAATGTTATATATCACAGGACGGAATTTCATCTTATCCCCATGGATCTATTTATATATTAGGTTCAATTGTAGGTTTGTATTTGATTTGTTTTCAGCTGAATGTGATTGAATGACTCAAATAATTGACGACTATTCTATTTGAGCAGATCTTTCGATCTTTGGCCAATATGTGTTTGACTTGATAGTTTTTGGTTCAAGAAATTGTGGGAATAGGATGATTTCTAATTGGATTTTTCTTAGATAATTAAATTCGTTTTGATGTGGCTCTTTGTGTACGTTTATTTATTATTTAAATTCGGAACTTTTTAATTTTAGTTTTACATACAAATAATCAAGAAGCAAGCTATTGCTAATAAAGAAATTTGTGTGGAAAGCAATTATTTTTCTTACCCAAATTCTGAGAGCATTTTATTTTTTCCATTGGAATTTTGATGGATCTTAGTAAATGTCAGAATTTGTGCAAAATAAATATTTTGATGCTTTAGACTTTCAAAAAAGATATGCTGTGTCATTATTTAGAACTTCTGGATTCAGGTGAATAGATATAGGGGCATATGAGTTTGAATTTTGAATTGGGATTTTATGTTTACATGGTTAAAAAATTCAGTATGTTCCCATTTAATCGTGGAAAGTTTCTGTTTCCTTGGGCATGGAAAAGAAAGAAACACCGGTACTTCTGAAGCCATAACATTTCAATTTGTATGCTCTTATGTATGAGATTGGAAGTTATTTCTCAGAAGCATATTTCGTACAAGTGCATTGAAATTGGCCTTTTTTTGTTGTAATGTATTCTGAAAGAAGTTGACAAAAAGTTTTCATTTTTAATTCTTCCAAATACTAAATGTTGAGCATGCACAAGTTTTTAGTTGATGCTTCAGATGTGGTCTTTTTTGAACGCATATAAAAGAAATTCTTGATTTTTATTTCACTATAGAATGGGATAGAAAGAAGGAAAAAGAAAGTATTTTTGCTGCTCAAGCCATTATATTGTGTTCCATTTACTATGTATTAGTTGTGATTTATGAAGAAATTATTTCATTTATGCAGTATATGTGCATTACAAGTCTAAAGCATCAAAATATTGGAACTCATGAGATCAATTAATTCATGCATGAAAACTAGAAAGCAGGGCACGTGCAATTTCACTTTTTTCCCTTTTTGCTGACAATTAACTCGTTACAGAAATTTTTTACCTCGCTTTCTTTATTTGTTAATTTTTTTCCTGAACTGCACTTAAGGTTTCTTTCGTTGTTGAAATTTTTTATTGCAACTGGTTAACATTCAAAATTTGGGTCATTAGAACTGATGAGCTCTAACAAAATTCTCTAAAGTTTATCTGAATGTAAATCATATTTGTGGAATTCCTTTTTGTAAATTGGTTGAAAACCTATCTGTAGGCAGAGTTGATCCTAGGTATAGCTTAATGGAAGAGGTTCTTGTGGCTGATTCCAGACAGTAAGATGTAAGGATCTTCATTTACTTCTGCCAAGAAAACCAGATTGTAAACTGTCAAAATATGAATAGAAGCTTGTAGATATAAACCTAAACAGCTGTCCCTTACATGTTGGTTCAGAGTTTTTATATCCTATTCCTTGCACCAGAAAGCTGGAGTTAGGAGTTTACTTGGATGCATTCTTTGCAGATGTCAGCTTCCAGCTTCCAGCTTCTGAAAAGATGTCCACATCACATTATAAACAATTAGCTGTAAATGATAATATTCTAAAATTTTCTATGTCAAGTACTTTTCTCAGTTCCTTTTTTGCTTCACCTTGTTTATACGTTTATTATTTATATCACATAAGCTTCGAATGACTAGAAGTATTTCATTTTTCAACCTGCATTACTTGTTGCTGTTAGACTTCTATATCTGCTAATTGATTTTGCCATCTTCGGACATTCAGTTACCATGCAAGCACAGAAATCGGCTCCAGCTGATATGCAGTGCAAGAATAAATTCCTGATTCAATGTACAGTTGTGCAATTTGACACAACTGAAGCAGAAATTCCTCCCATGGTAAGAGCATTCTAATTTGGTTATTTTTTTAATGGTTTCTTGCTCTTTCTTTTGCACTTTTGTAACAGATGATCAAAAATATTATGAAGATTGATTTCAGTATTTTTTATTCCTTTTTGATGTAGGAGGATCCAAGTCAGATGATGCCGGGTTGTCTGATAGCTCGTTGATGGCGTTGAGGTACCATGAGTTGACAGATCAGCGCAAAAATGACAAAATGGAAATCTTTTCCTGATTGGGGTAGTTTTTGGACACATTTTGGTATTTTGACCATAACTTTGGCTACGGTTATTAGAATTGCGCTTATGACCCTAATTCGGAAAGCTCTTTTCGAGCACGTCCTGATCATCCAGTTTCTCTTGGTGCGCATCAATTTCGAGAGAAAAATCCGCTATTTTCCCTTCCGAATTCCTTTGAGATTTTGCTATTTTTGGTAAAATTCCGATAATTACGATTTTCTAGCTATATAGCTCAGCTTGTGGGCTGTTTTTGGTTGGTGGATGAAATAATAATAAAGAATTCTCTTGTTTTTCTTGGTGTTTTCTCTTTTGTTCTTCCTTTTGAATTATCTGCTAAAACTAGCCTGAAGAATAATCGCTATTCTGCTCGGTGTCACTTTTGTTCTGGCAATTTGCGAAAGATAGTAAAAACTATATTCAAGAGACCAAGCTTAGGGTTGTTTGGACTCGTCCACCTCAATCTCCAGTGTTTCTACCAGTTAATAGAGTTTTGAAGCCAGAGCCATCTTGTGAGACTTCAATGCAGAAAGAAAAATCGCAGATGGGAGTTGAAAAATCCTTCCCTGAGTTGGTGAGAAATTTGAATTTTATTAACATTCAACCATAGGCCGAGGCAGGATTCGGGCAACTTATTCTTTTAACTTCAGCTTGATGAGAAAAACATGCTATAACTGTTTTCTTGAACATGACTGATTGTGCTTTATATTCTATGGGCATTGGGCAACCTCCACCTGCCATGATTCCTCCACAGCCTGGATTTGGGTATCAACAGCAACTTGTTCCTGTTATGATTCACTCAGAAGTTATACATTGTCTGTCATATATTGCGGGAATCTAATGTCATTTCCTGGTCACTTTAATTTTGGAACAATCGGGTATAAAACGATTTTGAACAATAATAGTTCCGTAGGCGGAATAACCATACAGAAGTCACATAACACGTTCTGGGTTAATTAACATCTTTCAAGGTTCCATAGATGATTTCAATTGGTTTCGACATTTGAGATTAACGACTACTTTTGATTGTGGTTGTAACTTGTGAATTTTATAGCAAATATTTAAGCTGTTCTTACTATTTGCTGCTCGGGTTTTCAAATTGATATATATGTTGATGTCTAATGTAGAAGTTGAAGTATCATGTTATAAGAAGGATATCAATTCTAAATGGAATGAGTATTTGACATTGAAGTTGGAAAGTTTGGATTAATGTACTTTATCTTCTTTTTGTTAATTTAATTTGTACATAAACAGTAGTTTTTACTTGTATTTTTTTTATACGATTAATTTTATTTTTTCTAAGAGGATTGTGAGAAAATGATTTGTAACAACGAATTTATTATTTATTGTTCACTACACCAGAAACTGCCTATGGCAACTCGCGAAAAACGTTGCCATAGACGTTTGGCAGCGTTCGTATGAACACGCGTTGCTAAAACTATTAATGACAAATTGCAATGAATGTTGCAAAAAGGTTAATGGCAANTAACGCGCAGTGCACGTTGCAAAAAAAAAAAAAAATTAAAGACAACGGACCACGAACGTTGTAAAAGGGTGTATTGGCAACATTCATTTAAAAAACGTTGCTAAAACTCAATTTTGTCAACCAATAGCAACATACACTTACTGAATGTTGCGATAGACCCCCTTTTAGCAACATGCAATTGGTGAATGTTGCCGTTTGTATGTTGCAAAAGGCCTTTTTTTCTTGTAGTGGTTATTGCATAAATAAATTTAAATACTATTGTTAAATGAGTTTGATATATTTAAAATAATATACCTAAATATAAAAATATATGTAGTAATTTTTATTTTTTTTAATTTTTTAAAAAGGTAGGAAACATCAACGTTCACTGAATGTTGTTAAAACATTAATGGCAACAGTGAAAAGATGTTGCAAAAAATAAGGATACAAGTATATGCAACATTTAAAAAACGTTACAAAATTGTTATTAGCAACATTCTTAAACGTCGCAAAAAAAGTTATTAGTAACGATCAAAAGTATTGGCAAAAAGGTTATTAGCAACTTTCAAAAAAGTTGATGTATCCTTCTACACTACGGCAATATCAAGGTTTGTAACATACGTCTGAACGTTGCAAAAAGTCTTTGACAACGTTTTTTAAACGTTGTAAAATACTATTTTTGTTGTAGTGCCTATTGCTTTACTGTCTACAATGATGCCAAACACGTTTATTTTAGTCTCCGTAAAATCATTTAAGGTTTCATTTTGTGGGTCAACCGTAACCTAGGATACATTAAAACGAATGATGGTTGACCGACTTCTTCAAGCAGGCAGAAAATGAAACAAAAATTTAAAAAGTTACTAAAACGTGTATTATTTTTCTGGACGGTTTATTCTCTAGCAATAGCCCCACGGTCCCCCACCTACATCAGCTTTCACATTTAAGCATATGTTTGGTCCTATTTTTTCAAAAATTCATTTTCAACCACACATTCTTTAATAAAATAATTTTACACATATAAATTAATGCAATCAGAATATCAAATCTAATAAGCCTTCTCCTTGTATTCTCTAAATAAAAAATTGTCTTTGCCATGGCAGTTTCTTCCACCATTGCTTTTTCCGTGAAACGGTGTAAGCCTGAACTGGTGGTACCGGCAAAGTCTACACCACGTGAAATAAAGAAACTCTCCGATATAGATGATCAAGAAGGTTTACGGTTTCAAGTTCCGATGGTGTTTTTCTATAAAAACAATCCTTCAATGAAAGGGATTAATCCAGTTGAAGTCATTCGAGAAGGACTTGCGAAAGCACTGGTTTATTACTATCCCTTTGCTGGGAGGATTATGGAAGGAGACAACAGAAAACTTATGGTTGATTGCAATGGCGAAGGCGTTTTGTTCGTAGAGGCTGATGCATATATCAGGCTTGAGCAGCTTGGGGATAACATATTGCCGCCATGGCCGTTTATGGAAGAGTTTCTGCACGATGTATCTGGTTCGGGAGGGATCATTGGCTGCCCTCTTTTGTTGTTTCAAGTATGTTCCAATTCATCTAAAAGTTCTTAATTTAATTCGAATAACGAACTTCCAGCTTTTAATCCATAAAATTTCAGCTATTGGTTTCAAAAATTTTATGCTTCCAACATTCAATCATTATGTTTTCAAAAGTAGAAACCACACACCTCGTGCAACTTTTATTAAGTTCTTGTTTGATGGCCATTATTCGAAAAAACCAATATTTTAAAATAGTTATTTTTAGAATAATGTGCGGTTAAAAGAATTTAATTACAACTATAATTATATTCATAATATTTCAAATTAATTACAATTGACTCCAAAGCTTTATAGAGTTACCATGAAAATGTGTTTGGCCATATATTCTTCATGCTCCAATAATTAGATAATCTCTAGTGAATTCTTGACCATCAAATCTAATTATTAATTTTTATTTTTATTTTTTTTACTAAAAGCACAAAAGCTACACTCACAGAATATTTAAAACCACCGAAGCTAAAATATTTGTAGTATTTAGGTACTGACATAAGTGGTAACTTTATTCTTCTAATTATATTGACTAACTTAAGTTTCATTTTCTTTAATGAATAGCTCACAGACGTCGAAGTTTAGGTATTACTAATTATTGAGCTCAAATTTATAATTGTTCAATAGAAAATACTTAAAGTAGTCATTCAACCCATTTTTCAGGCATACGATTCTTGAAGCGAATTCGTATTCTTTGCTCATTCTCAAATTCTCAACTCACCAATATATATGACCAATCAAAGAACATTAAATTCACGAGAAGATATACACAATTTTGTCCAGAATTTAGATAATATACCAGACTATCAAGTGGAATTTATTTACCGCACTATCATGCTATAAAATTGAACTAGACACGTGGTCTATTAATTACACTTCAAGTGTACTAGTATTATCATTCAATTATTTCTATTATAAGAAAAAATTGAACTAGACAAGTGGTCTATTAAAACATAACATTTACTTTTAATGGCTTACAAGTTACAATAAGCACTTGAAATTTATGTTTTAGAATCTTATGCGTGATGTTAAGTAGCTTATAAGTACTGAAATGAATTATCTAAATTAATCCTAAATGCAGGTAACCAGATTCATCTGTGGTGGATTTGCTTTGGGAATCCGATACAACCACACTATGGCAGATGCTTATGGGATGATGCAATTTCTAAATGCTATTTCTGAATTAGAGAAAGGGGCATCTACACCTTCTATTCTACCTGTATGGCAAAGAGAACAATATTTGAATGCAAGATATCCCCCAAGAATTACATGCATACACCATGAATATGAACAAATACCACAATCCACAGACTTTATGGATTCGGACAAGCTAATTCGGATCGCCATTTTCTTTACTCCTAAGGATATACAAGCACTTTATAGTAATCTATCCTCGTCGGGAAGTTTTCGTAGATGCTCGAGATTGGATCTAATAATAGCATGCTTATGGAAATGTCGTACGAGTGCACTGAATCCATCTGATCCAGACGAGACTGTTCGTCTTTCAATCCTTACCAATGTGCGTGGTAAGCCAGGCTTGAATATACCGACGGGATACTACGGCAATGCTCTCGCTTATCCGGCAGCAGTATCCACTGCCAGAATTTTATGCACTGCTCCAT